GCACCGCCATTCACTCCAACTATCACCCCTGCACCGCTGACCCTCATTCCAAAAGAATGTGCTGGTTGGGCGACATAACAGGTTACCGCTACTGTTTATTCCAAAAACATTGTGCGTCTTTCGGTATTAATTTATCTCAAAACCCAGCATTTTAATTTCTCAGAAACGATCATTGCGGGAAAATTGTGGGCCGGGACTAAGATTTTTGAACGATCGATGCGATAAAACGATAGTTCGAGGAACGATAGAAGCGGGAAAATGTAACATTATTTTATATGGGATGTATTCGGGACCGAACAAAACGGACGATGCATCCGGGAACGATGGATAGAGGTTTCACTGTAGTAAAAGACTACAAGAAAGATAAGAATTAACAATTTAGTGCTCACATTTCATGGATTTTGGGACTGTAAAGCAAGAACCCATCACGCTTACCATCATCATCACAGGAGACAAGTTCTTCTGCAAGCTTCTCTAGTCGAATTCTCTCCTCATCCACTTCCATAACACACTTCAGAGCAGTCTTGTCAGATGCAGGCATCTCTCTAGTGAGGTGAAAGATGTCAATGTGCTCTGGGATTGGTACTTCACGGTTGCCAAGCACAGACAGTAAAGTTGATTTGCCTGCAATCATATGATGTAAATGAATTATCATGTTTGCTGTGTAGAAAGCTTATTTTATTTCTCTCCTTTCTGACACATACACAGAGTAAAAATTCTGGAATTTCTCTGTCTTCAACATCATCCCACCTCATGAAGTCCAGTTGTCAGCAAGATGGTAAGTTTAATGACAGGAAATTAAACCTCTGAGGCCAAAGTTCATCTAAATATTTTAATATTCAGTTTTAACCTAAAAATATCACAATGCATCTGTTACAAAGATAAAATTATTAACACTGTGCATTCTGAGAATCACATAATACCAGTAACACCCTATGGACAAAAGGCATAATTAATGATTCTTAAATCAGGTGGTACATGTAGTTACTGGTGGCATTTAAAGGGCTAAGATGCATAAAGAGTTTAACAACATGAATTGTATGCAGTTTTACCCCAATCAGTCAATGTGTGTGTATAATACTTACATCTTGCAGTTGAAATAGGACAAGCAGCTCAACATAACCCACCAACAGGGTTCCACATAAATAAATTCTATTCTTTCAGAATAATAAGGAATGTTACTGTCTATATTGGTCAGAAAAACATGACATCACAGAGAGACCAAAATCTGACAAAGACAGTCAAGATAAAATTCTTAAATCTGTGGTGGGATATTATCTTAGATACAAAGGGAATTAAGGATATAAGGAAATAAAAGGAAACTGCTAACTTAAATGACAATATTCAACACTAATCACTGGCTCTTGCACATAGAACATATGGAGCAATATCATTTACCAACACAGGCATGAGAATATCATAACTGAAAAGTGGCAGACCAACGAATAGATGGCCAGAACCATTTTTAAAGCCAGAACAAATTTAAGCCCAATCCTTGACCCCTGACTATGATAATTGTTATTTTAAATAACTCACTGCCCTTGATACAAACTTACTGAACCTGCCAATCCTCTACATTGAAACAGATGCTCACCAGAGCCATTAAGCCCCAAGAGACCATATCGTCGTCCACAATTCAACTCGAGTGTAGTGTCCTGGAGCAGTTCATGGCCATGAAATGAGATAGAGAGGTTGTCAATCTTGACATCCCGACTCCGAGGATGGACTGCTAAGCTTCCAGTGCAAGCACGAGCCTCTGCATTCAACTTTGCGTCTGCCTCCAGTTTCCTGCACAATGCCTCTGTATAACACATAACATCCCAATCATTATAATGCACAGTATTCCTACCAGAACCTGTAAATTTTAACAAAAATAGCCCCAACTACAATCACAAGTAATATGAAGATTTGGACTATGTGGAATGCTTCCTAGTGCATAGCTAGAAGTTATTAAGTGGTACCCATTAACCAATTAAGTGAAAACATATGAATACTATTTCTAAAAGTAATACAGGTATACCTCGGAGATATTGCGGGTTCGGTTCCAGACCACCACAATAAAGCAAGTCACACAATTTTTTTTGGTTTCCCAGTGCATATAAAAGTTATGTTTGTAGTCTATTAAGTGTGCAATAGCATTATATCTAAAAAAACAATGTACATACCTTAATAAAAAATACTTTATTGCTAAATAATGTGACACAGAGACACGAAGTGAGCACATGATGTTTTTAAAATGGCGCTGATAGACTTGCTCAATGCAGGGTTGCCACAAACCTTCAGTTTGTAAAAAAAGTTGTCAGTGGAACCACGGTTCCGGAGAATTTGACGTAAATACGTCTATACGGAAAGGAAGTTTATGTATTGGTTTTATTCTAAATATTTCCTTTATATATGCTTTACAATTGAGATAAGTTTGATTAAGACATTGCTTAATCAACTTGAATTAGTTACGCTTAAGATGGCTCTGTGGTAGCTGAATGTAATGTAAAGTAATGTAATGTAAGGTACATTACTTTACATTACCAGCACAAAATTATCTACTCTACGACGCACTTCTTGTACAAGAGAATCACAGCTCAGCTCTTGCCGCAATAACGAAAGTAATGTAATACAATGTGAAGTAACGTTTCCTACGTAACAATAATGTTGAGTAAACAGTTAACGTTTCAGAGGTAACAATAAACAGATGAAGTTTCCTAGGTAACAATTTTTGTTTATTTGTTCATAAACAGATGACGTTTCCTAGGTAACCATTGTTGTTTATTTGTTGATAAACAGATGATGTTTCCTATGTAACCATCTTACACTTTTTCGTTCCCGTTTTTCGTTACACTTTTTTGCCGAATGATCCTTCCTTATAGACGTATTTACGTCAAAACGCAATATCTGCGAATTGCAATAAAACCAGGTATGCCTTTATAAGCAACATAAAACATAACCTCACGGCAGCAACAAGGATAATACAACACTGAAAAAGTACACAGACGAAGATACAAGATTAAAGACTGTGACATTTAAGATAAGACGTTCAGTCCTCTTTCTTCTCTTTTAATAACATTTTAGATGACATCACAACAGTAAAAAATATAATTTCTGGTTAAAATCCACCAAAAATATTATATATTGAAAATAACTATTCATTGTGTTCACTACACTACAATAAACAATGTTAAGGTTTTCAAAGAACATGGAAGCAAAAAATCTTGTTACAAAAGTGGCCCACTCCAAATGTTTGATCTTTAACTCTGTATCAGTTGTGTAGGTGACAATCCTGGAAAAAAACAATCACGGGTTCACCTTCTATACTGATGTCTGTTCCATTCTCTCCAGTACCATTCACTTCTGGCTGATCAGGAGCAGGGCTGTGTTCCTTCTCAGCTGAACCATTCTCAGTTTTGTTGCCTCCAGTAGCTTTGCGACCAGCCTGTCTTGCCTTCGCTGCTTCCTTTTTCTTCTGCTGCTGCTTCTTCTTGGCATCTGACGGCATTCTGGTGGCTGCAGATATATCATAGAATTTCAAACTGAAATGTGTTTACTACATGTTATTAACCCTTAGCCAAGTATTAGCATATTGCTACATATCTCAAATGAATTATCAGCATGATATAAAAACACATATTCATGTAAATTTAAACTGAGTAAACAAGTAAAAGTCTCTCTTAAAAATCCGATAATTGCTCAGCTAGCCAGGAAATTCCCTGCCTTTTATGGAACCAGAAGGTTCATTACTGTGTTAACAAGAGACCAGAATAGGACCATCTCCTGAGCCAAATTAATCTAGTCAACATCTTTCCATCCAATTTTCATTCTACTATCCTACTTATACCATGGCTTTCCAAGTGGTTCTTCTCTCTAAGCTTTCCAACAAAATTCTATACACATCTATTGTCACTCACATGCATGCTGCATGCCCTGCCCATCTAATTATCATTAATTTTATCCATAATTTGTGTTCTTCCCTTAACCCATACAAAACAAGAGATAAAATTATAGTATTTTATATCTTAATTTATTTGACTATTATATTATCAAAATTATAGTAGTTTAATGTAGTCTTTATTTTTCCCGACAGCATCCATGAGGACAAAATATTCTGAACTGCATGGCAGCAAGCATTCCCCAAATTGAAACTGCTCTGAATTTCTTTATGAATTAAATTTTGATTTTTACAGCTGTTCCAAAACAACTAAACCCTGCACATATTTTTAAGGATTTATTAGCTACCCTTATAAAGTGAAGTCAGTAGCAAACCAAATCCTAGATCACACAATTCCTGAGTTCCTTTAACTCCTGCCACTGCACTTGACTGGCGTGATAAGCAGTCATTCACTCAGTCATATTATTATTTCCTGTTTTAAAATGCCACATTTCAAATACAAAATGTAACAATAAATATTTATGCACAATACCTATGTGAAATGTGGTTCAACAAGAAAAGTACGTAGATTCCAGCATAAATTTCAGATGTTACTGATCCATACAAATATACAGACAAATAAAGAAAAACAGGAGTGTATTGGGGGGGGGGGGGGGGGGATTGGTCACTGAAGAGAAACTGGATGAAATAGGTGCTATGATTGAACATACTCCCTGGGGGAAAAAAAGTACAAAAACCCAGGGTTTCAAAATTAAGCAAATGAATGTATGAATTACACCCTCACAAATTTCAAAAACTGAAAGAAAATATCTAAATGGAGATTTTCTCTATTTCCCATGAACTTCAATGTGTGTATGTCAACTTTTTACAGACAAACAAGGAATGCAAGCAAATAATGCAAACAATACTTCTCTCATAATTGAATTATAAACTTTCTTGAGGTCTATAATATCTAATGTACTCGTCCACTGTACTCCCATTTTTACTTCATGATCTGATAAATGCAGAATATCTATGCAGTTGTTGTTTTGAAATATACACAGAGTTAATATTGAGAAAATATCAAATGATATCTTGAACATAAGTAATGAAAGTAATATTCCTTAATAATTACTAGGCAGTTTTACTGCCCTCATTATAGACAAGAACAAAAACAGATTTCTTCCACTTATCTGGCAATTCTTTCATATTCCAAACAGGATTAATAAGTTTACGGATAACATAGTGTAATATGTTACCTCCTTCTTGGATCAATTCTGCCAGACTTTGATCAGTATCTGGCAATTTATAACTTTTCAACAGCAATCACATCAAAACAAGTAGGCTCTAGTGTATTGGATGTATTTGATATAAAATACGGTAACATACATCGCAAAATTAGGCTCCAACTAAACATAATGCAACAATTGTTTTTCTTTTCCGTTGAACATTCGTCCCATTTGTTACAAAGGTGTACATTCCGAGGCGGACAGATTTGTAATCACATAAATTATTGCTTTTATAACCTAAACTAATTCTATACATTAGCCTAATATGTTCTACCAATCGCACAAATGTGTGTCCCTAAATAATAGTATTCTGGGCGCATAATATCATTATTTCCTATTTACATTTGATATGATATTTGAAACAAATTGCATAAACCACGTAAAATTAGGTCATTGTGGAAACAAAGTTTGAGCCTTGCAAAAGACTCTTTGCGCAAAGTACCCCCTAAGTTATGCAGTCTTCTTCAGGAAGGGCAGTATTTAAAACAAATATACCTTCGGCAGGTTTTATAATTGTAGACGTTTTCCTCTCGATGACAAACTCCTTCACGTGCACGAACCCGTCAAGCAAACTAACACCACCAATTTATTAATAGAGAGCAGCACAATAGAAACTGCCGGCAAAAAGTTTGCGACGTTGGTCAGCCTGAAATACCTGGGGTAGACAATTTAAGAATTAAAAAATTTCACTTCGTTGGTTCGTAAAGACCACCACTGGCATTGTCTTATATACGTGTCCTCACGTATAGTAAATATAGTAAAAAGTTGACAGTGGAACTACGGTTCCGGAGAATTTGACGTAAATACGTCTATACGGAAACGAAGTTTATATATTGGCTTTATTTTAAATATTTCCTTTATACATGCTTTACAATTGAGTAAAGTTTGATTAAGACATTGCTTATTTAACTTGAATTAGTTACGCTTAAATTGGGTCTGTGGTAGATGAATGTAATGTAAAGTAATGTAATGAAATGTACTGTAATGAAATGTAATATAATGAAATGTAATGCAATGAAATGTAACGTTTCCTAGGTAACAACAATGTGAGTAAACAAATGATATTTCATAGGTAACAACAATGCTGAGTAAACAAATGATGTTTCCTTGGTAACAACAATGCTGAGTAAACAGATGACGTTTCCTAGGTAACAACAATGCCGAGTAAACACGACGTTTCCTAGGTAACCATCTTTCACATTTTTCTTACACTTTTTTGCGGAATGACACTGACCCTTCCATATAGACGTATTTACGTCAAAAATCCAAAACTTCTTTTCGCAATGTATGAATAAAGAAACAACAAAGTTGTAAAATGAATACATATCCATATCCCTTTTAATTATATGAACAATTTTGCTCCGATTTTCGATCGCGTTTGTTCACATGCCTTATGTCCAAACAGTCTTCATAAAACTGTTTTGAATATTTTCTGACTTTATCACTCCTTCAGTGTGACAAACCATACAAAATAATAAACTAAGTAAAAGTCTACATATTTTGCTTCTAATTGATTTAGAAAGCAGGTGGTTATATAAAAGATTGAGAATTGATTAAAACACACATTGCATTCTGTAAGATCATTCGTCCTAAAAACAAACTTTGAAGAGTAATAATGGGTGGACTGAAACTGTCATATCGTGGTAACCTATTACAGTTCAAATAGCCCAATAACAATAATTAATGTCCATTTGTACAGCCAGGCTTCTAGAAGATACAGGATTTCTTGTTGTGCGCGTAAAATTAAAATTATTTTCAGCAAACTATCTCATCCAATATAGATATAAATAAATTGCCTGTAGCAATTAGGCCTTAATGCGCAGAAACTTCATTTGGTGGCCAGCGGAACACCAGTTATTAGCATTCGACTTTGATAACTATGCAGTATATTGGCGAGAAGGAACTCTTAAATTTCCGTCCCTTAACCACAAGATGACCATTACTATTGTCACAACATAATAGATAAGTACGTAACAGACGAGTAGCTGAAGTAGGCCTACTTGCCAAGTGGTTTTAATTCAGTCTTCATGAAACGATTGAAAAACTGATTAGGGCACTGGTGACACCAATAATTAAAACGTGCGAGTCGACGTTCTTCTCAATGCGCCAACCCCTTTAAAATACTATTAATGTTTACAACACACTCGGAACGGATGTTTTCTTATCCACTTTTAGCGTACGAAATGGTATATTGGCGTAAAAATATCCTTGAAGATGCCATCTAAATTTCCCAGTACAGGTGCTTCCCGATGCGACAGTTGTGTTCCAAAGAAACATTGCAGACGGTGAAATCGCATAAATAGAAAAATGAAATCCCTTCACCCCTCTCAATCATACACAGGTACCATAACAACCCCTTCATTGTCAACTTTCAATCGGCTAGCAATCAATTCTCGTTTATTTGAAATCGACCTAAATTAGGTGAGCGCACTTTAATAAAATCGCAAATCTGATCTGTACACACATCAAGCTGTGCAATATAAAATTAATAGCTCATAGACACTACACTATACGCAGTATACAAGTAATTATCCAGGATGGATTGTTATTGTCTGTACGAGGAGAATAACGACTGAATAGTCCTCCTATTTCGCGACGGCTCTTTAAATTACCAGCACTGAACGCAGATGACAACACCTGCCGCGTTCTTCCATCTTGTGAACATTTAGTAAGCTACATGTGTTATATGTGTTACGTTGCGTGACTGGGAGACATCGCAAGTGTTGCAGTTCTAGGTTAAAAGAAATGGAAGGTATCACATACGTCCCGTCAGATTCAAATGATGAATATTCAGATACGGATAAAATATTATTAGAGGATGTGAGAAAATGGAAGAATTCAGATATTGAAGAAAGTGAGGTTAGTTCAAGTTCTTGAGCTACTCTGTTCAAATCTAAAATGCAGTTTTTTTCGGAATAACAATTTTTTGGTTCCATTTCATTGGGTTATTTAATTCTTGTGTACTATGGCTAAGCATATTTTGGTTTAGTGGGTGACCTAACCTGTGATGTAAAGAACAGTTTGTTTACTTTTACATAATGACTTTGACTTGAATGACGGCTTGAAATGCCCCTCCCAAGCTTTGAAATAAAATGTGATGTGATGTAAGTGAACAGTATTATAAAAACATGTTAACCTGTATATCCCCAGGCCAACTGTCATCAAATTACTATCAGAGGTATTGGAGTTAACCTCACATTTTAATACTTTCTTTTATATGTTATTGAAATTTGAGGCTCTAATCAGGAGAGACATAGGTGAGAAATGGCTGCTGACTTTTGCTTACAAAACTACTACTACTACTACTACTACTACTATGGCGTAACAGCCCAAAATCGAGCCCTAGCCTCCTCTTGCAAAACTACTTGCCGTAAATTTATGACATTGGACTGCCGGTTTTTCTTCCTCTCCGAAGGAAGTTGTGCTACAGATTTTTATCACCCTTAAGAATCCATTGACCTTGACCGGGTTTGAACCTGATAACCATGGGTCCAGTGATGAGCACACTAACCACTAGTCCACCAAGGGCAACCATTTTAGAGATATCTGCAATAATCTTTTTTGACTGGTATGCACCGTGAGTACAGCACAATGCAATCAGTTATGAGCTGTAATGTCATCCCCTGTCCCCCTGTTTAGACACACACTGCACTATAAAACAATAAAAAATATACATCAATTATGCTATTTTAATAGTGGAATTTCTTTGATGTCAAGTGTTAGATCCTGACAGACGAGTCTATTATTGTTGTTGGAGATCTTATCATCACTGATGTTGAATACTAATTGGTCATTGACATTATCATTGAGACCATTCAACTCCCACATTGTCAGTCACAGTAATCAGTTTTATTTGTTTTGCATGCCTTACAAATGATTCATAGTAGATCTGTATCTTAAAAAATGGGACTGGTTCATGGCTTACATTAGTGTTTCTGAGCTAAGAACCAATAGAATTGCCAGTGAAGCATGTGGCTTTGTTTGCATCTGGTTTCAAGTAAGTGTGAATGGATAATATAACATAAAATTAAAGCTGTCCCACTATATGCCATGTAAGTGCTTGGGGGAGAGGTGGTATAGTTCTAACTCATTCTTAACCTTGGCACTATTTAGTGTCACACCCTGTCCACACTTTACCCCTGGGGAAGGATCCAAGTACCCATTGGATAGGAGGCTGGGTGGGCTCCAGAGCTGGTGTGGACACAGAGGCTAGAGGAAAAATCCTCAGTCCTGTCAAATTCCAATCGTCCAGTCCATAGCCAGTCACTATACAGACTGATTTATTGCAGCTCCTCTTAAGCATTTTCAGTTGCAGTAAAACTTATCATTATTTTTAGCAAAGGATTTTGAATTTCTTGTTAGGAAGAAGTATATGGACTTCCCTGTGATGACAGTAGTGATGGAGATGGTGAGAAGATGTCTGACAGTGACATTGAGGGGCAGGATGATGACAGCAATGGCCTGCCAGATGTCAGAGCCTGGGGGCAGAAGAGAAGAAACTTTTATAATACAGACTATGTTGATCAAGATTATGGAGGTATATGATTGCTAAGTATTGTCAGTGCCTCTGAACAGAACACCAATACATTTTTTCATTATATAAATTCAGATTTCTGAGTAATAAACTATGAACAATTTTTAAAATTATTATACACTAGTATTTAATTACTTCTACATGTATTAGCATAACAGTGAAAGATTCCTGTGTACTGAAATTATGATTCAGTATGAAATTAAGAATCTGATGATGTGTAAAGTTGAATGTGACAGTAATATGATTGTGTTGTACTTATTTAAATTCTCATGGATTAAAATGTGTGTAACTTCTGTTTCCAATTCTTTTTCTTGCAGGTTTTGATGAGAAAGATGTTGAAGCTGCAGAACGTGAAGAGGAGGAAGCCAGAGCCATTCAGAAGAGACTGGTGGAACAGCTGGATGAAGGGGACTTCTTACTTGATATGTTTGCAAAGGTATTCTGTGGTAGTTGTCATTATAGTTCACTACACTTTATTTCACTTTATTTCTGTTGTATTCACTAGCTTTACACATTTTTTTCTGAATGTGGTGCCAGAAGAAGTATATTGTTTTAGTTAAATTCTGTGATCTTGAACACAAATAAAGTAATGCAGGTGAGTAATTTGTTTCAAAATCCATTATGTGCAGAAAAATTTCCTGCATACAAACAGCTTTATTATTTGAGATTAAGTTCCTTATGGTGGTGAAATGAAAAGTAATCTGGGTTGTGATGCCATGTAGACTTGTAGGTAGATATTAGTATTTTGGAGAAACATCTTGTTTCTTTCTTTAAGGCTGTTTCTCCACAATTTTGGTATCTGCCTGCAAGTCTACATGGCATTGCAACCCAGATCAACATCGTTATCTTTATCATTATACTGAGTTAGTTATCTTGGGCTCTGCTTAGATGTTTCAAACTGTGTGGTAGACCTGAATGACTTAAATCCATTGTAGAACTTGTATGTCAATGGAACTGTTTAAATCTGTAATTCTTCTGACTTGGAAATATCAATCATTTACTCATCAACAGGTGTCTTTTACCCTTTAATCATAATTGTCAGAGTTGCTTTCATGTTCTATAATCACAAAATAATTGTAACAACTTGAAAGTAACAATAAGCCAATACTATACTTTGCATATCACATCTGAGACCAGAAGTACGTACGGAAACTAATGAAGTAAATATATAATATAAAATAAATTTAAAGAAAGAAAACAAAGGAGTATAAAAGAAATCTGCCAAAGATAGCATCTGTCGGTGAGTACTGAACATTGAGCAGTGTACACTGGTTCTATCCAACAAGAAGCAGCTCAAATTATTGCAAGAACAAAAGATTTTAGGGAACTGGTTTATAGCCATAAGTTTCAACTGCTATGAGTTAACTTGGAAAAATATACTTAGAACAAAATTTTAAACCCAGTTTAATTTGGACAAGAAGGGAAGTAGCTAACCAACATTTACCATTTTTCTTATTTCTTCTAGCTGTCTTTGCCGTAGCTTATTTGACTCCTCACAATGTAACCCTTTATTTGTTAATTAACAATTTCTCATGTTAATTTCATAAGTGCATATCCAACATTGAAGATCATTGTCATCATGTTGGTCCCTTTCTGCCATATGAAATATCAACCTGCAGAACATTGTAAATTGAATATTTTTCTCTCTGTTCAGGAACCCCTCCAGAAAGATAAAGAGGCTGAGGAGGAGGTGATAAAGACAGATCTCAGGAAACTGAGCAAAAGACAGAAATTGGTTCTGCTCCGGAAAGAGAGTCCAGAGTTTTTTGGCCTTGTAGAGGATTTCAAAGGTAATGTTTGTCTGTGGGAAGTTACAATATATAATATTTGCTGATGACACAAGTGTCATAATTTCTAATAAAAATTTTGATGATTTCTGTTCAACATCAAACATAGTTCTGTCTCATATGAGTAAATGGTTTACTGCTAACAAGCTGACCCTAAATCTAGATAAAACGAATATAATAAAATTTATAACAAATAACTCACCACAGCTTGCTTTAAGTATTAGTTATAATGGGAAGTATATACAAGAGTCAATAAACACAAAATTCTTGGTTTGCAAATTGATAATCACCTAAATTGGACAAATCATATTGATAAACTGATACCTAAGTTAAGTGGCGCATGTTATGCAGTTAGATCTCTGTTGCATGTTAGCAACACTGACACACTCAGATCAGTATATTTTGCCTATTTTCACTCTTTAATGAAGTATGGAATAATTTTTTGGGGAAATTCATCAAACAGTAAAAAAATATTCACTTTACAAAAGAAAATTATTAGATTATTGGCTGGTGTAAAACCTAGAAATTCATGTAGAAGTCTATTTAAGAGATTAGAGATCTTAGCTCTACCTTGTGAATACATATTCTTGTTAATGAACTTTATTGTAAATAACCAAGAACTCTTTCAAACTAATTCTGCTATACACCGTGTCAACACAAGGAATAAAAATCAGCTTCATAGACCAATTGCCAACCTCTCATGCTTTCAGAAGAGTGCATATTATGCAGGAATCAAAATTTTCAACAGTCTACCATCAAATCTCACAAGTCTTGTAAATAAGAAGGAGCAATTTAAGGTAGCATTAAAAAGATACTTAATTACACACTCCTTTCCCTCTGTCAATGAATTTATGTTGTTTACAAATAAATGATAATTTTTTCTTGTGTACTAGGTAGATCTATTTGTAGCTTATCATTTCTCTAGGTGAATACTTTGTTTTGTATTATGTGAAATTTATATAATAGTTTGAATTGTACTTTGTAATATGTATTGTATTATTATTATTATGACTTTTTCCACATCCTATTGTCATCTGACTGTCTTATGGATCCATGGAATGTAAATGAATTATTATTATTATTATCATTATTATAATTCAGTAGTGATTAGATGGTTAAGTCATGTATAAGTGTTGTTTGCATTCTTTGCATGTTGTGCAAACATTTAATTCATATAGGGATGATTATGTATGTCTCTTTGCATATTTCATGTTGGACTGATTTTGATGAAATCTGGTATGGGCATTGTGCCAATGGCGGCCTCTCCTGTATAATACTGTTAAGATGCATTTGTGAGAAATAGGATGTAAGGATATGGAGTAGATTCACCTAGCTCAGGATAGGGTCCAATAGCACACAGTTGTAAATATAGTATTGAATCTTCTGGTTCCATAAAGGCTGGGAATTTTTGTAGCAAGCAGCATCTAGCATACATAGATCCACGCCAAAGATAATGCTAGAGTGTCAAGATTTTCTTTGTTTGAAAAAAAGGATTGTATGTAATCCATTATGACCAGTCAGTTGGGGTCAGTTGTTGGAATTAATTTATTACTCTTTTCTTTCCAGCAAATATGACAGAGCTTCAGCAGAAGATTGAGCCCATCCTGAACCTCATCAAGAGTGGGAAGATACCAGCATCACAAGCTGATAGCTATGTTCAAACCAAGTACCATCTTGTGCTGAAGTAAGTTGTGACTGTACACTTATTGCGGTTATTGGTAGCATCTATTTAACCTCTTAAAGTCTGGTGATCCAGTTTGTATATTTAAATTAGCCCATGCATCTGCAAATATATTTTACAGTTATTGTACCAACATTGCATTCTACTTGCTTCTGAAGACTAAGCGAATAGCAGTTCAGTCACATCCAATAGTGCACAGGCTGTACCAATATCGACAGCTGCTCAAACAGCTGAAACCAGTGGATGAGGTAATGACTCCACAGTTAGAGTCCATCTTGGAACTGGTGCATAATGGAGATGAGATCACACCAGTAACCAGCGAGAAGACAAATCATCTGGGAAAGACAAAGTGAGTCAATTGCTGCCATAGTAGCACAATACAAGTGTTCCCTATATTTATCTTTATCTAGTCTCATCTGTCGCAAAATTTACTACATTAGGATGAAATTAAAGACTGCAGCTAATCTATACATACAGCTTACAAATCATTTGATGGAATTGAGGTACTTGAGTACAGCAATGAGGTTCATAATGAAATTATAAAGATTGAGTTTAAAAGAAATTCCAAAAGTGTTTGGTATTATTCAGTTAAGGAAATATTAAACTTCTTTACAAGACTGCTGATATGAAAGTTATATAAAAATAATTTGCTCTTTTTCATATTCTTCTTCTTCCTAGACTATAGGCCTGTAGTGTCAAATGATAGGATGATTAATGAATAATGAATTGGAAAGGATTTGGAAGGAATTGCTCATGTTCTTATTTTGTGTGCTGTCACAAACTTTTTGGAGTGACTGAGAAAATCTTGCAAAACTTCAGTCAGTATAGCTGGTCTTTGGGTCAGAATTTGTACCTAGGACTTTTTGAATATGAAGCAGGAGTGGTATTCATTTGACTGTAGTATTTGGTGATTTTGTGTTGTGAATTATTGTCTCTTACTCAATGGGCAGAGCTTAAATTCCTGGTGCTTCAAAGTAAAGTGTTAAGGAAATTATTTGGACCTAAATGGCAGTGTTATAAATAAGAAATGGATTAAATTAGATACTGTAATGAAAATTATGTGATTTATATGCTTATCCTTACCTTAATTAATTGAAGGAGACACACATTTAGTTGAGTTTGGAAACCAGGACGCACTTGCAAAACTTTGAAGGGGGAACTACTTGGAAGACTAAGATGGAGATGGGAAGATATTATCAAAATAAATATTAAAGAAACATTTGATGTGGGTATGAACTGAATTGGTTCAGGATGGGGTCCATATTATATTTGTCATGTTCTATTGATCTGTTATTTCATGCATTGTGTACTCATTTTAGTCTGACCACAGTTTGGTAATAGCTGAGTGTGAGGCGGGTTAGGTTTCGAGATTTTAGATTGGTATTACTAGCAACAATGAAAATGTCAGTTCTTGAGTTCTTGTTATGCCACCTGTACGAATTATCGGTATAGTGAATTTGAATTAAATAGAAATAATTCATTTACATTTGGAAATTATAGTGGATGAGCTGTAAAAATCCTGCATAATCCTTTTTTTGTATCTTTATTTATTTATAGTTTATTTAACAATGCTTTTTCAATAATTCAGACTATATAGCATTGGATGAGAGGATGATAGTGAATAATGAATTGGAAAGGATGTGGAAGGATAATATTGTGGTATAATTTAAGGTACTGTCCTGGTATTTGCCTTGAGGGACTGACAAAATCTACTGAAAACCTCAGTCAAGATAGCCGGTCTCTGAGCCTGGAGTTGAACCTGGTACCTCCTGAATA